CCTGTAGACTGTTGGCTTTTGGGTGCTCCTCCCCCTCCCACAGGGTCAATCGGGTGGTCCTGTTGGGCTAGGGTCAACAGAGTATCAGTGTTGGGCATTCTCAACGGGTATTGTGGACGTTGCTGCAGTGTCGTTAGTCTTCCATCTATTAACGACTGTGTGGAGGCAGTAACTGATTGCTTCATTCAAGCAGCTGTTCATTCTGTACCTAAAACCTCAACACGTTTCCCATGGTATCCTTGTCCATGGTGGTCTCCAGCCTGCCAGCAGGCAGGAAGGCTCAGAAACAGGTCTGGGATACTTTTCGCAGGTATCCCACTCTTTCTAGAGGGCCCATGCTCGGCTTGTCAGACATCAAAACCAAAAGGAATCTTGGATTAAGTTAACAACTAGGATCTCTTCTACTGCCACTTCCAAAGTCATATGGGACAAGATTTGGAAGGTCAATGGGAGGTGTTCTTCCCATCTCTTTTCCATCTTGCTCTCCAATGGCCAGGAAGCTGCTGATGTACAGAACATTATCAATACTCTTGGTTAGAGCTTTTCTTGTGCATCCAGCACTTCTGTTTCTTCCCCTTCCTTCTTGGCCATTAAGTCTTGGGCAGAGCTATTGCCTCTTTCCTTTCAGGCTGATCGTCTCTATGACTATAATCGCCCCCTTACACTGGTGAAACTCAAACTTGCTCTTCATTGGTCTGGCAGTACATCAGTCGGACCTGATGATGCTCAATATGAGATGCAGCGCCATCTCTCTCCTGCCTCTCTTGCTATTCTTCTGGTTGTTTTAACTGGATGTGGCAGGAGAACGTTTTTCCTGATGCTTGGTGTCAGGCTATTGTCCCCCCTTTCTTTAAGCCTGGGAAGGATCCCAAGATTCATTCTAATTATTGTCCAATTGCTTTGACTAGCTGTTTCTGTAAAGTCTTAGAGAGGATGGTTAATGCTTGTTTTGTTTGATTCCTCGATTCAAACAACTTCCTCTTGCCCACCTTGTGTAGGTTCTGCAGACAGTGCTCCACCCTGGACCACCTGATTTGACTTGAAACCTCAATCTGGGAAGCCCTCCTCAAGAGAGAACATTATGTCGTCATGTTCTTTGATCTTGAGAAGGCTTATGACACAACATGGAGGTACAGCATTTGCAGGACCTCCACTTATATGGGTTGCGTGGCCATTTATCCATTTTATTCAGAACTTTTTATTGGACAGGCGATTCCAAGTTAATGTGGGTTCGACTCTTTCCCGTTTTTTTACACAGGAACTTGGAGTTCCTCAGGGCTGTGTCTTGAGTGTCACACTTTTCAGTTCAAGGGCTCGTTCAAGGGCAGGATCCATGGAGGTTG